TATGTTGCAGTGCTCGGAGGTAGTGCCCAAAACATATTGGCCATTTCTCTACTTGGGAGCAACGGAGGAGGCCTGAATGTCATCTTAGAGCTCTCCATCATGTCTTCCTTCAGAAGCAAACCAGTCGGCCTTATTTGGGTGTGCAAGGACAGGAGTCTTGCTCACCATGACCTTCATGGTTAGGCATCATGGGGGGGCACTTTGTCTTTCGCCTTTCACCCTCACGTCATGCCTTCATTCCAGAATGAAATGTTCTCCCTTTCACCACCCCCCACCCTTTTTCTTTTTAAAAAGCTTTATTGAAATCTGTTCGTACAGCACACATTGTACCCTCGTATCTGTTTTTTGTTTTTGTTTTATACTGCAGTTTTGTTTAAGACCTTTTATTTGTTATGATAAACATATAGGCAATAAGACCCTTGTCATTTCCAAAACTTTTCATGTACACAGTGCAGCGGTATGTATGTTTGCCATGGGATTTAACCATCGCCACCAGTTACTCCTAAGTTCCATAGGAGTTCAGCCTGCCATGTTTATTTCCCTTTGTTTGCTTTTCCTTTTGTGTTTTTCAGATTCCAAGATCTTTCCGAAGGTAAGAAAGGGCAGAGAATTTCTAACTGGAAGCCCAGCAGGTCAAACCCACCGGCCGCTCCACAGGAGAAAGATGAGGCAGCCTGCTCCTGTACAGCTCTGTGCCCTCAGGGACCCTACAGAGGCTTTCCCTGAGTCGAAGTGGACGTGATGGCAGCGGGTTGCAGGGTGTTTGTGCCAGCTGCTGAGAAGTAGTATTAAAAGTGATGTTTCAAACCCATCTTTTAAGCATTGATGGCCCTTCCACGCGCACAAAGAGGCCACCTGAGCTTGTAGGCAAAAGCTTCTGAAGTAATTCAAGCACAGGAGCTTCCCCTTCACCACCCATTCAACATTCCCAAGACCCCCAGCCAAGCTCAGCTCCTCCTGCACCTGCTGGGTGGGGCATGGGGGGGGTGGGGGGGGTGTCCTTATTGCTTTACCAAGATGAGCCAAAGAGAAAGGCCCTGTCTTAAAGGAGGCTGGGTCTCCTGGACACTCTTGTATTTTGCTATTCCTCCCAAATCTCCGGGAAGCCACTGTCTGCCACCTAGTCAGTTCTGTTGGACCGAGAATGATCCAGTGCACACATGCCAAGTGGGCCATGACTTTTAACTGAGACATGTGTCTGTTAATGTCACCTGTGGGCAGTAACAGGTCTAGGACAGAAATCGGGCTTCCAGCCCTGCCTCGTGCAGTGGGCGGGCAGACTCCTGGAGGGCTGGGGGCTGACGGCATATCTGCCATCTCAACAGGCAGGGCCCCGCAGCTGGCTGTGACCGAGGGTGCTTCTGCTGATGAAGATGGCCTTCTCACCAGTCACGGAGGGAATACGAAAAAGGGAAATAAACCTGCAGAGAAAACCCACTTGGGCAACGAGAAAGGTAAGTCTTGACACTGAAGCTAGCCCACAGAGGGAGGAAAAGCAGGACTGTGGCAGCCCCCAAAGGCTGGGCCTGCCTGTGCCGAGGAAGCCCTAACGGGCCAGGGCCTTCAGAGATGAAAGGAGCACAGGCTCACAGTACCTGCAGCCCCACTCTTCAGCCTCAGAGCATCTCCTCCCTCTCAGTGACATCTCCAGGGCAGCAAGCACATAAGGGGATGGAGACTGCTGGGCAGAGTCTACCTTCGGGGCCTTGTTTTCTTTGGGCCCCGTTGGTTATTCTCGTGTTGCTCCCAGTCCACTTGGTGCGAGCTACACCTGAGGGCTGCCTCCACAGTCCTGCACAGCTGTGCAGGGCAAGAGCAGAGTCAAACGAGAAAACCATGCAGCTCGGGTACACCGCCCAGGACAGACCTCCTCTTGTCGGTAGACAGCCAGAAAACTCCAAGACTTAGCCATCGTGTCATCTCCCGTCCTGTGGGCAGTAGCTGAGCGGGCTTTGTGTCTTGCAGGGAGCACATGCGTGCGTGCGGAGGAAGAAGAAAACGGAGGCAGCACTCCGAGGAGGAAAAGGAAAAAGAAGAAGAAGAACCCTCCCCAGCCTGAGAGCTTACACCCAGCGCCCAGCATCACCTCCTCCGGCGAGAGAGGGAGCCAAGAACCAGGGGACAGTCATAGGAAAGAGGAGAAGGTCCCAAGTGTGGTGAAGACAGGCCCAGAAGCCAGCTCCACGGAGCAGGGGGCCTGGGAGCGTCCCCCGGCCATCACCACCTGCAACAAAAGGAAGCGGCCCAGGAAGAAGAGCCTGAGGGCTCAGGAAGGGGTCCTAAGGTTCGCAGGACCACCTCCAGAGAACAGGACTCCCAGCAGCCCCAACCTGGACTGTGCTCAGGCTCCTGCCGGCCACAGCCCCGCCATGGGTGGCGCTCAGGGTCTGAAGAGGAAGCGGAAACTCTCAGTCAACGGCAGCAGCCTGTCCGTGCTGGCCTGGCCCCCCACAGGGAAGGGAAGCGCTGAGAGCAGCCCAGGGGAGGCAGGGGCTGGCCAGCGGGGGAGGCTAAAGAAGAAGAAGGGAATGCCCGGCCTGTGTGCCCTGTACGCCATGTCCAGCCCGAAGGCGGCCCTCTTGAAGAAGAGGAGGAAGGTGAAAGAGAGGCTGCACTTGGCGGAACACAATGGCGTGTTGGAGCCTGGAGCCAAGCAGACCCGCACTCTGGTAGGGCGAACTTGAGTCCTGGGGGCTGCAGCCGTGCTTGAGGACCACTAGGGTCAGCAGGGAGAAAGATTAGGCTCTGCCCCGGTAAAAGCCAACAGCTTCGGGAACCCTGGAGCAGCTCTCCCCTGTTCTCGGAGCTCCCTGTGCCTCGGGATTGTTGGGATGCCGGTGGCTACCTCCCTGGGGCCTGGCATGTTGGCGTGGTGGGGGAGAAGCCATCAGTTAGACCTGGTCGTGACCTATAGGTCGTGACCCTGTAAGTATCCCCAGGGGTGAGGGACAGGGGAGTGGTCCTAGCGGTCCTTGCTGCCTCCTCCGCTTTTCCTGCGCCAGGTCCTGTAGTTGAGGTGGTGCCAGGGCTGGCGTCCACCTGGGGATGCTATTCTCCAAGCCCGGGTGGACATACAGCAGGCAGACTGCATCCCCACCACGTTGATCATTAGCTGTCGTCCAGTGCTGGGCCCCGCTGGCAAAGAGAAAACCTAGAATGTTCCTGTCTAGCTTATCTTGTTCGTGAGAAGACTCCTGCCACTTAGCTCTCTGGTCCCAAATGTGAGTGAGGTTGACGTCACTGGCTGCCCGCTTTTCCAAAACCAAGCTCGGTGCCGTGAGGTGAGGTCGGACTGACTTGGAGCCACCCTGGAGAACAGGCTGCCCCCCGGGTCTCCCGGTGCTGTGTGTCTTGACAGGAACTGACACCTCGTCTTTCTCCTGCAGAGCAGCCGATAGGCTTGAGCTGTGACGTTTCAGTTAATGGCCCAATGTGTGTCACTGCGCCGCCAGAGTGCCTTCCTGCTTACCCTGAGTATCGGACTCCCCACGCGTCCCTATAGTGGAACGGCTGCCCCACACAGGAAGAGAACTTGCCCCCTGCGGGTGGTGGCTGGTCCCCGAGCACCTCCATCCCCACGCAGCTCCTCTCATTGCTGGGCGGTCGTGCTTGGTGCCAGCCTCCTGGTCACTGGGAGCCAGTCACAATGTCGTTGGCTCACCACAATCCCAGAAGTCACGGTTTGATTCTGTGTGCATGTGCAGACACACACCTGCATGAGTGTTTGTGTGTGACTTACAAGCATCTACTACTTCGGGACTTTGTTTTTAAAAGTTTGAAAACTAAAACCGGATGCCCCTAAAGCCTCCCAGTGTTGCCCTTG